CAGGCAGTCCCCGGGTTACACACAAGATCTATTCCCAAGTATGTCTTTGCGTCAAATTTGTGCGTAAATTGGAACAGGTATGTAAGCTTCTTAGTGCAAGCAAAGACTGGATCCTTTACAAGGACTTAAATTTGTACCTGCAGTAGGTAAGAATGAGTGTGATGAGGTTTTTTTGGTTTTGTTTTTGCAAACAAGGATTGGGCCTGTTTGCTAAGTGAGGGCAATTTATATAACATTAAAGGGCAAGTCTGTGTGAGCTGTGTATAAGAGGCTGTTCTTAACCAGGTACTTACTGTATAAATAAAGCGAGTACAGCATTCAGATGAATCCTACTCATTTATTCAACAAACACAGCTATTTAGCTAAGAAAGGCGGTGTCCCAAGGAAAACATTCCTGGTTACTCTGTAAACAGAATCTCAAAACTTTTGCTTACATAAGCCTATGAAGAGCAAATGAGAGAATTGAATTTTATACTTAGAAATGTTTTCTCTGATAATAGTAGAGGTATCTTTTTTGCCTCATCTATAAATAATGAAAACTAGGCCTTCCTTAAGATCTGTGGTAAATGAAAGTACAGTCATATGTCCATATGACCCATAACTACCCTCCTCAAATCATAGGAAATAATAATAGAGCACTGCAATATTTTTCAAATAGTAATTGTATCCATTCCTTGATCCCGAAAAACTCATGCTTAGTGGGTTTTGACCAGAATTTGAAAGAAGAAAATACGTTTGTCCGTGAAAGAAGGGAAAACAAGTGCATCACTCCTATAGTAGACCTAAGTATTTTATTGTGAAACGTACGCATTTGTGTGTATGTGTGCATTTTGCTTTATACAAGGGGCCTCAAAAATACTTATGAAAAAATGGAATTAAATGTCGATGGAGTTCTCCACAAACTTTTTGAAGGCAGTGTGTGTACGCTATGTGCATGCGTACTGTGTAATCATAGCAATCAGAGTATAAAATTATTTTGGGCGGAGGCGGATGCAGTCTAAGAAGTTAAAAGGGCTTAATATATTCTAACTACTCTATTTGAAAGGTTAGACTCAGAGCAGTTGAATGACATCCCAGGATGCTTAGCTGGATCACAGCTCCATATACCTCAGTCCCTATTCTGGTCGATTTGAACTATCTTTTCGTATAGCAGCCATATGCTAAGCCACCGCACCCTATGGGCACCTTAGCACATCATGCTCCTGAAGAATTAATTTCCTAACTACCCCAGACTCTGGTTTACATAGCTTGGTAGCAAAGGGGACTACATATGTGAGAACATTTCTAAATGTCTTTGATTCTAAGCTGCTGCTGTCTGCTTCTCCCTTTCCTCACCCCATCTTTTCTTTTCTAACCATGGAATAGTTGGCAATCATCAGAGGGGAATGCAAGGATGTCATTTCTAGGATGGCATGCCCTTATCTCAGGGACTTCTCAGGCCTAAAAGCACCCACATGAACCGAACAAGGATCTCATCCTAAGTGTCATGCCCTCAAAATCCTAAGTGCTTACCAACCAGTCTTGGGGAAAGCCAAAATATACATATTTTTTATATGTGAAACTGATCCAAATTAACAATCAGAAATAGACATGACAAGCTACTTCCTACATTTCTCTGCTTGCAAACCAGGATTGACTCTTGAAATATGGATCTATACTGCTCATTCAGTCAGTCATCTGTGTGCCCCAGAGTATTTGCCATGCATACAAAGTAGATATCAACCATATCTACATGTGTCCCTTTCTCAGAATTTAAGTGCAATTTTGTATTAAAAATTGAAACCCAGGCATTTGAGATGTGTCATCAGACCAAAGTATAGACGTTGAGGCTTGGGGTTTCATTAGCAGGAGGCTAATAGATGCATGTACGGATTTTAAAAAAACAAACATTTTATCGGGGGCTCTTACAACACTTGTAACAATCCATACATCAATTGTATCACGCACATGTGTACATGTTGCCAACATTCTTTTTTTTTTTAATTGTTTTATTAGGGGCTCCTACAGCTCTTATCACAATCCATATATACATCAATTGTGTAAAGCACATTTATACATTCATTGCCCTCGTCATTCTCAAAACATTTGCTCTCCACTTA